GAAGGGAGAATGAGGAGGAGGAGGAGGAGGATGTGGATGAGGGAGCAGGCAGGAGGAGGAGGATGTGGATGAGGGAGCAGGCAGGAGGAGGGGGAGCAGGAGGAGGAGGAGGAGGAGGAGGAGGAGGAGGAGGAGGAGGAGGAAGGGAGTTGCAGGAGAGGACCTAACGGGAAACGAGTGTGACGTGGACTTGTCAGAACGTGTGCGAGAGGTTGTCCGGCCCGTTTCGTTTGAGACATCCTTCCAATACTAAGCTCCAAGATGTCGTTCGCGAGGTGGTCCGGCCCGTTTCGCTTGAGCCATCCTCACAAAGCGGAGCTCGAAGATGTTGCGCGCGAGATGGTCTGGCCCGTTCTGCCTGAGACGCTTCGTACCTCTCTCATTCCTTCTCCCGCCTCCCTCTTCCCGCTTCCCGCCTGGCTCCTCTTCCCTCCTCCCTCCTCACGCCTCCCGCTGCTGCGCCTCTGCCTCCGCCTCTCCATCCCCGCCGTCGTCGTTTTTGCCGCCTCAGCATCCGTCATGCGCGCCCTGCCTTCCGCCCTCCCCAGACATCCGACGTCACGATTTTTCTTTTGAGACGTGCGCCACGTACCTCTCGATATCATCCCTGGGGGAACCATCACGACATGCCCCCCCGTTTCCGCGCCCTCCCCCGCTTCCTCTTACAGTTGCTTCCGAGCTCACAGCATGGCGGTGGAGCCTCTCACAGTACCGACCCGACAGCTTACTCGTCGACCAGGTGCGAGAGAGTACGACACCCTCTAGTGTTAGCTTCCTGATAGGCATGCGTCACACGTGTTCTCATGTAATCATCTCATGTGCAAACATCATGTTATCATGTTCTAACATGCCATGCCAGCCCGCACTGGACGGGCACGCAATCGACCTTGGAAACCGCAGTGGGTTTAAAAACCCTGTTTGGGGATACTGCACTCCGGCTATAATTTGTTACAACTATTTTTCCCCAACCGCTTGCTGAACGGGGTACTGTTGTGATAAAAGCAAACTCTGGCCGAGGGAACTCAAAGCAGAGAAATCCTCAAACAAATTTGGTGGTCTGGGCCGTTTCGCCTGAGACATCCTTGCAACTCTCGTTTCTGAGTTGTCTGGGATTGGGCGATTCGCGCGATACATTCTCCAAACTCTGAATTCCCAGATGCCGCGCAAGAGGTGGTCAGGCCCGTTTCGCCTGAGAGATCCTCGAAACTCTGAGCTCCCAGATGCCGCGCGAGAGGTGGTCCGGCCCGTTTCGCCTGAGACATCCTCCAAACTTCAAACTCTGAGCTCTGAGATGCCGTGCGCGTGGTCGCGCCCGTTTCGCCTGAGACATCCTCGCAACTCTGAGTTCTGAGATGCCGCGCAAGAGGTGGTCCAGCCCATTTCGCCTGAGACATCCTCGAAACTCTGGGCTCCGAGATGCCGCGCAAGAGGTGGTCCGGCCCGTTTCGCCTGAGACATCCTCCAAACTCTGAGCCCTGATATGTCGTGCGCGAGGTGGTCCGGCCCGTCTCACATGAGACATCCTCGCAACTCTGCGCTCTCTGATGCCGCGCGAGAGGTGGTCCAGCCCGTTTCGCTTGAGACATCCTCCAAACTCTGAGCCCCGAGCTGCCGCCCAAGAGGTGGTCTGGCCCGTTTCACTTGAGACATCCTCGCACTTTTGCATCCCGAGATGCCGCGCGAGAGGTGGTCTGGCCCGTTTCGTCTGAGACGTCCTCGCAACTCTGAGCTCTGAGACGCCGCGCGCGAGGTGGTCTGGCCCGTTTCGCCTGAGACATCCTCGAAACTCTGAGCTCTGAGCTGCCGCGCAAGAGGTGGTCCGGCCCATTTCGCCTGAGACATCCTCGCAACTCTGACCTCGGAGATACCGCGCGCGACGTGGTCCAGCCCGTTTCGCGTGAGACATCCTCGCAACTCTGAGCTCTAAAATGCCCTGCGCGAGGTGGTCCGGCCCGTCTCGCCTGAGACATCCTCGCAACTCTCAGCTCTGAGATGCCGTGCGCAAGGTGGTCCGGCCCGTTTCGCACAAGACATTCTCGCAACTCTGAGCTCCCACGTTCCGCGAACGAGGTGGTCCAGCCTGGGGGCCCAGAAGACCACATGTTACACATCCCCCCTGGGACCCTGGGAGCCCCAGGAGGCCCCAGAGAGCTTCAGGAAGCCGCAGGACGCCCAGGACAGGCCCCAGGGCCCCAGGGGTCCCCAGGAGATTCCAGGGAGGCTCCCAGGAGGCCCCAGGAGGCCCCCTGTCAGAACGTGTCAAGTTCATTCACATCCGGTGTTGATTCGTTGATTTTTCCTGCTCTTGTGGCCCCCTCCAATTTAGGGGGGCCCAGACGGCCACATGTCAGATATCCCCCCTGGGAGCCCCAAGAGGCTTCAGGAAGCCCCAGGTGGAGTCCAGGAGGCCACAGGAGGCCCAGGAGGAAGCCCCAGGAGGAAGCCCCAGGAGGTCCCAAGGAGGCACCAGGAGGCCCCAGGAGGCCCCCGCAACTCGGAGCTCTGAGACGCCGCGCTCGGTGGTCCGGCCCGTTTCGCCTGAGACTTCCTCGCAGCACGTTTCGCCCGAGACATCGTCGCAACTCTGGGTTCCGAGATGCCGCGCGCGAGGTGGTCCAGCCCGTCACGCTGGAGACATCCTCGCAACTCTGGGTTCCGAGATGCCGTTCGGGATGAAGAGGAGGTGGAGGAGGAGGAGGAGGCGGAGGAGGAGGAGGAGGAGGAGGAGGAGGAGGAGGAGGAGGTGGAGGAGATGGAAGGGCGAAGGAGGATGATGATGTGGATGAGGGAGCAGGCAGGAGGAGGGGGAGAAAGAGGAGGAGGAGGAGGAGGAGGAGGAGGCGGAGGAGGCGGAGGAGGAGGAGGAGGAGGAGGAGCAGGAGGAGGAGGAGGAAGAGGAGGAGGGAAAAGGAAAGGAGTTGCAGGAGAGGACCTAACGGGAAGCGAGTGTGACGTGGACGTGTCAGAACGTGTGCGAGAGGTTGTCTGGCCCGTTTCGTTTGAATCATCCTTCCAATACTGAGCTCCAAGATGTCGCTCGCGAGGTGGTCCGGCCCGCGTCGCTTGAGCCATCCTCACAATGCGAAGCTCGAAGATGTTGCGCGCGAAATGGTCTGGCCCGTTCTGCCTGATAGGTTTCGTAGCACAAGGGCTCCTATCACAACCTCTCTCATTTCTTCTCCCGCCTCCCTCTTCCCGCTCCCCGCCTGGCTCTTCTTCCCTCATCCCTCCTCCCGCTTCTGCGCCTCTGCCTCCGCCTCCCCGTCCCCGCCGTCGTCGTTTCTGCCGCCTCAGCATCCGTCATGCGTGCCCTGCTTTTCGCCCTCCGCAGACATCCGACGTCACGGTTTTTCTTTTGAGACGTGCGCCCGCGGACCTCTCGACATCATCCGAGAAACATTTCTATATGTTTTTTACATCAATAACGCTTGACGGCGGTTGATCCGCCTGCCCCCTTCCAGTTGGCATGGAGGTCGCCGTCGCTGCAACAGTATTGAACCATCGCAGCGGCGGTCTTCAACGAGGCCTCCGACCAATACGTTCCATCCAGGGCAACCGGGGCGACAAAAGGAACCATCACGACATGCCCCCCCGCTTCCGCGCCCTCCCCCGCTTCCTCTTACAGTTGCTTCCGAATTCACAGCATGGCGGTGGAGCCTCTGACAGTGCCGACCCGACAGCGTACTCGTCGACCAGGTGCGAGAGAGTACGACACCCTCTAGCGTTAGCTTCATGGTAGCCTTGCGTCACACAAGTTTTCGTGTAAACATCTCATGTGCAAACATCATGTTATCATGTTCTAACATGCCATGCCGGCCCGCACTGAACGGGCACACAGTCGACCTTGGAAACCGCAGTGGGTTTGAAAACCCTGTTTGGGGATACTGCACTCCGGCTATAATTGAATATTCCCCCTGTAGAGGGACAGGCCCGACTTGACACGAGGGCCCGAAGAGGGGGAGCCCGAACCGAAACGTCAACCCCTTTCCCCACAGATGGCCCACCACACCGCCATGAAGCTCCCACGAGGGCCCCAAGACACCTCCGAGAAGAACCCCAGAGGCAGCCGGAGACCCCCAAGACCCCCCAAGGGGCCCCACTGGGCCCCCAGCGTGCCGCCAAGAGGCCCCCCGAGGCTCCAAAAATGCCCCCGCGAGCACGCAGGCAAGTGCCAGCGATGCTACAATGGGCCCAGGGGACACGACCAGCCATTTCGAACATCAATGGCTGCTCACACAACGCGTCAAGGAAACTACCACCACCCATCAGCGCCGCAGTGGAAACGAACGCGCGGGCAAACACCCGCGATGGAATAGCTCGGGCAAGCGGAATGTGCGAAACGATTTAATCATGGTTTACTTCCGCGAGCCGCTTCAACGAAACGTTGTGCTCTGCGCAGGATTCTACGGGGGACGGAGATTTCCCTTTGCGCATTCGGAACATCCACCGATCCACTCTCTTCGGCCCCAGCAAGCATGGGTCAAACTGCAGTCAACCCGCAGAGTAAGGATGAGCGCTTTCCAAGGTTACCCTTGCATCCTTCTTCTTCTTCTTCTTCGGTCCATCCTGGGCCGCTCTCACCGGCCGCGCCCCGCTCGCAGAGTGTCGACATGGCCCTGCGAGGCCCCAGCATCTTTCCGCGCATCCTTGTCATACGGGTCGACTGCCTTGCCCCGTCGGTGTATCTCTGGTCCGTCTGGTGAGGAGCGGACGCAGCGACCGCAAGGGCAGGCCTTAATTGCAGTCGACCCGTATCATAAGGATGCGCGGTTGGGATGCAAGGGCCTCGGAGGCCCATGTGAACGTTTTTCGAGCGAGGTTGGCCAGCGAAAGTCGCCAAGGATGGGCCGAGGAGGCAAAGATGCAAAGGTACCCTTGGGAAGGCTGCCCATCCTTACTGTGCGGGTTGTCTGTGCTCGGCCACCCCCCGCGGGCACGAGTGGGCTGTGACGCCGGCTCCGCTCTGGCGTCCCGAGGCGGGCCCCGAGCAGCGGGTCAGCCTGGGCGCTGAACTCGGCCGTCTCGTCGACGGCGCCCTCCCGGTCGTAGATCCGGACCTGGCCGGCCGCCCGCAGCGCGCCTCTCCCGAGCAGCCTGGCCGCCGACTGAAGCCGAAGTCTTGCCGTCGGGAGCCCCAGGCCGGGGCTCGTGCGCGAGGGGAGTGCTCAGAGGGAGCGCCTCGGGAAGGACCCATAAGAACCCCGAGCCGCCTCCGGACCACGCTGGTCCGTCTCCACCGTTTTGGCTTCCAGGCTCTAGACACGTGGACGTGAAGAGACTCGCGATGGTGGTTCTGCCTACACGCACATCATGATCGCATGCCCGGCGCGTTGCCCCGAGCAGAATTCGTGCGCTCTCTGTCTGCGGTGGACCAGGGGAGGAGAGAAAAGCGGCGGGCCTTCTCAGAAGGCTCGGAAGTCCCCCAGCCTTCTGAGAAGTGTTCCTAGCCTTCCCCGAAGACACAGAAAACTTCTCAGAAGGCGCGAGGGCTTCTGAGAAACCCCGCCGCCTTCTGATAAGGCCTTCTCCTTCTCACTACCCCCCTCGCTCGCCGCTGACTCTGGCTGCCCAGAAGCACGTGACAATCCCCGCCTCGTTTTATACCCGCATCGCCCCTCCAGACGTGATCTTCCACATCCTGCCCGCCGCGGTCGTGGACATCTCTGATCCTGGGCGCGCCCTCTCTACCTATCGACTGGCCCACGGCGATCTCGGAGTATGCGCAGTCGCTGCCCATCCACTGGAATCGTACATGAGCGAGGTTCAAAAACAGGTCTTACGCGGGATGACATAGTGCCCCCACGCGGTGGCTTTCGCAGGCTGCGAGGGCGGCACGCCACACTACTTGAAGCGAGGGCGCTTTCGCGCAACCTTACGCGGGCAACTTGCGCGCCAATGTCGGCGCAAACGACCCCTTTTCCCCTTTTTTGCGTCGCTCGCATGTTTTGCGCAAGAAGGTTCGAGCTAATCGAGTCGGAAACGTCCTGTCGTCATCCTGGCTCTTAACGTTTCCGGTGTGCGCCGAAGCCCGCCCCACGACCAACGCAGCGGGAGCGAGCGGATGGAAGCCGTCATCCCGAGGAGTTGATGTCTGGACCAGTAAGCCAGACAGTCGGCCCGTATCATAAGGATGCAAGATAAGGATGCAAGGGCCTTGGACGCCCATTTCGAAGCTTTCGAGCGGGGCGCGGCCAACGAATGTGGCGAAGGATGGACCGAGGAGGCAAGGATGCAAGGATACCCTTGGGAAGGCTGTCCATCCCTACTATGCGGGCTGACTGTAAAGGGAGGGCACCTGAACAATGTCAAACTGCTCCCATGCGAATCTCAACCATCCAACACTGAGTCTATGTTAGGGCTGATAATAGCGTTAGCTTGGGCATGTCCCCCTACAGGCAGATTTGGGGAGACAGATGAAAAATCATCAAACAATGCCATCCAAAATGGTCAAACATGGTTAGAAAATCGTCCCCCAGACTATTTTTGACTATTTTTGAATACTCCTCCTGCAAAGGGACAGGCCCGATTTAATAACAGCGAGAAGAAGGCGTCAAACGGTGTGCTGATGGCCACTGTGCTGCCGTGTGCACGCGCCCCCTGACACTACAGGATATTCGCCTGGCACATCTGCAGCGCCAGCTTTAGGTCGGAATCGCAGCGCCAGCTTTAGGTCGGGCATGTCCCTCTAAAGGCGGATTCTGGGGCGAAAAATCAACCAAAAACATGCAACAACATACACAAACATACTCACAAAATCGTCCCCTGACTATGATTTAACCATTCTTGAACATTCCTCCTGTCGAGGGTCAGGCCCGATTTAGCGCTAGCTGCCGTCGAAAGAAGCCCTGCTCAGCACATTCGGCGAGCTGCGCGCCCGCGACGCAGATCTCCAACCCAGTCCATGACCAGAGCACCCCTCAATCCTGACACACTGCGACTAAAACTGGCGCGAGATCTTCCAAGAGCGTCCTCTTCCTCCTCCTCCTCCTCCTCCTCCTCCTCCTCATCTTCCTCCTCCTCCTCCTTTCCCCCTCCTCCTCCTCCTCTTCTCCCTCCTCCTCCTCCTCTTTTTCTTCTTCCTCCTCCTCCTCCTCCTCCTCCTCTTCTTCTTCTTCTTCTTCTTTTTTTTCTTCTTCTTCTTCTTCATTCTTCTTCTTCTTCTTCTTCTTCCTCCTCCTCCTCCTCCTCCTCCTCCTCCTCCGCTCCTCCTCCGCCTCCTCCTCTCCTCCTCCTCCTCCTCCTCCTCCTCCTCCTCCTCCCACTCCTCCTCCTCCTCCTCCTCTCCTCCTCCCTCCTCCTCCTCCTCCTCCCCTCCTCTCACCTCCTCCTCCCTCCTCCTCCTCCTCCTCCTCCTCCTCCTCCCCTCCCTCCTCCTCTCCTCTTTCCCCCTCCCTCCTCCCGCTCTCCCTTCGCCCTCCCTCACCACGCCAACGCCTCCGTTGGGAGGCCAGCCCCTCCGCCCTCTGCCTTGAGGGGCTGGGAGGTCTGAACTGCTTGGGACCCCTAAAAATCGGTCGGGGGGGGGGGGGGGAACGAGACTAAATCCGCTCAAATCAATACTCCAGAGCCCTCTCCCTCCGGGTCCGTTCTGGTGCAGACTTTTGCCTGGAATTCTGTTGTTCAGGCTCCTGGGAACCCGCCAAGTGTTAACAGAGGCCGAAAATTGCCTCCTCCCCCCCCCCCCCCCCCCCTTCCCCCCCAAAAAAGAAAACAAGTCCCGAAGCCAGAACCTCGAACCTGCGCGCCATCTCTGCTGGCCAGAACCAGTGCTGGGCCACCTCCGACTCGACGGCTCCAACCTCTGCCGCCCCCCCCCCCACACACACACCCGAAAAACAGCCGAACAGTCCCCGAAACAAACCCGACCACCCTCCCGAAAAAAAACCCCGGTTGGGAGGCTTCCTGATGGGTTTTCTGAAATGGCATTGCTTTTAATTGTGCCCCCCCCCCTCCCGAAAAAAACCCTTCTCTAGGAGGAGGAGGAGGAGGAGGAGGAGGAGGAGGAGGAAGGATGAGGATGGGAGAAACAGGAGGACGGGGGGAAGGAGGGAGGCGGATTATGAGAGTCTGAGGTCCAGGGAGTAGGTGATGCGTAGGCGGAGGCGGCGGCGTGAGTAGTAGCTAGTCGGAGTTAGGCAGACGGGATTAGCAGGAGTGAGGCTGGGTATCCTGATGAGGGAGGAGGCGGCGCACCGGAGGAACGCCGGGCAGGAGTCCCATACCGCAGGCCCACGGTGCAATCCGGCGTAGGAGTATACCGTCTCCACCTTGGCCCCAGGAGAGAGAGCCCCCTCCCCCCCAAGAGCGGGGGTCGGGCCCCACAGTGCCCCCTGGCGCAGGCGGGGGAGCGCCTGGCCTCTTCGGGACGTCAGGCCCCCGCCAGAACGCCGGGGGATGGCCGCCGGAGCGCGCCCTCCCGCAGGCGGGTTTTGGACGAAGAATTAAGAAGAGCCCAGAAATACGCAAACATAGCAACAAATAGCAGAGAAACAAAATCGTCCCCAGTCTGGTTTTTCTTAGAACTGGTTTGAGCATCCCTCCTCTAGGGGGACATGCCCGACTTGAGCCTTTTAAGCCTTCCCCCAGAGGGGGACCCCTGGGTGCGCAGCACTCCGCGCGGGCGGGAGTCCCTCCCCTGATGCCCTGCGCGGTGGTCGTGCCTGGCGGCTCGTCCTCTCCGTCCCGTCCTCGCCGTCGCTGCCGCCGTGGGGGCGGCGGTGGGTTCTCTGTGTGGCCGGGCCCCTGCCCGTGCCCGTCGGCGGCCGGCTGCTCCGCCCGGTGGACACGTGGCCGGGGAGCTGGCCTGCCATTCCCACCCTGCCCATGCCAAGGTGCCCCGCGCGCCGCCGGCCCCCGCGGGGCGCCCGTGCCTCCTCCTCCTCCTCCTCCTCCTCCTCCTCCTCCTCCTCCTCCTCCTCCTCCTCCTCCTCCGTCTCCCCCTCCTCCTCCTCCGTCTCCCCCTCCTCCTCCTCCGCGCTGGGCTGACCGTTGCCCGCCTGGTCCTGCGGATTGGCTCGTAGGGGGAAAAAGCCCTTCGCATCCGTGCTCCTTCAGTCGGCATGGTCATCCCAAGGGCTCGCGGCAAGGACGTGCAGCGGTCCACTGAGTGCCACGGGGGGTGAGACACGCCCGGGGGCCAGGGGGTCGAGGAGCCTGCGAACGAGCGAGCGAAGCCGCCGTCGCCAAGAAAAAAGCTGGCGACCCTACAAGAAAAGCACAGGCGCGCCTGTAGCGCGCTGGCCCTCTACGAGGACTGGGAACAGGCTGCAACAGACGCATGATGATTCAATGCACGCGCGGAGTTATGACAGACAGGGGAGGTGAGCGCGAGGCAGACGGATCAAGAAGGTGGAACGACTCTAATGCGACTCACCAATGACCACCCAGGGTGCCGTGCCCTCAACTGAAGTGAGAAGGGTGTGGAGAGGGATAGAGGGACGGGGAGGGGGGAAAGGGAGGAGGGCCCATGTGTGACGGACGCCTTTCACCTGGGCTATGGCCAAACCCTCGAAGCCTTGAACGCGCCTGACCACGATTGACGAAGCGTGCGCAAGGCGAGCCTCGCAGGACGTAGTCTGACCTTCTCGTGGGAAAGAAGCAACTGTACGTAGCGGATGTGGCGGCCAGCAACACCACAAAATCGGACGGGCGCACGAGTGCAAGTGGGCCTGCGCGAGAGTACTTGGGGCAGGGGCGACCTTCCCACAACCGACACCCTCCCCCATCCCCCATACAGTGGAGGCCAGTCCACAAGAAACCTTCCACAATAAACCCCACCCTGAGACCCCAGGACATCCACTGGTGTTTGGTGTGGGAACGCCACGCTTTCCATGGAAAAAACACCGAAGCCCAAGAAGCCCAGGGTACCCTGGAGGCAGGCAGGGTGTTTCTTGACATGGGTCTCTCCCATAACCTTAGGTCGGGCATGTCCTCCTACAGGCGGATTTTAGACGAAAAATGCAACAGGCTGATTTTAGACGAAACATAAAAATAATCAAACATGCTAAAACATATTCAACAAATTGTGGATTTGGCACTACTTTTGAATAAGGTTGGCACTACTTTTGAATATTCCTCCTGTGGAGGGACACGCCCGACCTAACCACAACGCCTTCCCCATCTCGGGGGCGGCCAACGATGGGGGCGTCCAAGAGGGGGGGGCGCAAATCATGGCCGGCGGCACGTGCGCGGCCGGGGGGGGGGGCCGGGGACGCAATGACACAAGGAGAGGCGCTATGAAATATGAGGAGATCTCATGCCCCCGCCATGATATCCCCACCTCTACTCATCACCCCCCCGACGTCGAGGAGGAGGAAGAGGAGGAGGAGGAGGAGGAGGAGGAGGAGGAGGCAGGATGAGGAGGAGGAGAAATGGGGGGGTAGGGGCGGAGGCGGAGCGGAGGCGGAGGGAAGGAGCAGGAGGAGGAGGAGTAGGGAGAGAGGAGGAGGAGGAGGAAAAGGAGGAGGAAGTGGAGGAGGAGGAGGAGGAGGAGGAGGAGGAGTAGGAGTAGGAGGGGAGGGGAGGAGGAGGAGGATGGGGGGGGGGCCAGGAAGCGGAGGGCGGGAGGCGGAGGGGAGGAGTCAGGAGGAGTGAGGAGACGGAGGAGGAGGAGGAGGAAGAGGAGGAGGAAGTGGAGGAGGAGGAGGGGAGGAGGAGAGGAGGAGTAGGAGGAGGAGGAGGGGAGGAGGGAGGAGGCCGCCGACCATCCCTCTCGTGAAAATAATGGTCCGGGACCCACGCCCGACGGGGCGCAGGCCGCGGAGAAGCGCTGCTGGGCGCGGCCCCCCCCTCGGAAGTCTCCCGGCAGTCTGAGAAGTGCCCAGGGGGGACAATTCTCGCCAGCGACCTGGCAAGGGGGTGGGGGCCTCCAAACCAACCTCCCCGCTCCCTCCCTCATCGCCCCCCTCCCTCGCCTTCCTCCCTTCGTCGCCTCCCCATCCCTCCCTTCCCTCGCATCGCCTACGCCCTCACTCCCTCGCCCCCCCCTCCCTCTGCCCCCTTCCCGCCGCTCGCCTCCTTCCCCTCCCCCCCCCGCCCCCGCCCTCTCCTCGCCTCCCCCTTCCCCTCCCTCGCCGCACAATAACTCAACATGAATACTACTCTCCCTCTGGGACTCCCCCTATGACATTTTGGGAGTACCGCCCTCCCCCCCCCCCCGCGTACTGTTTTTTTAACATACAGGTTTCCCCGGAGTTGAGTTTTCGCCTGCGCTTTGCTTCAAAATGCTGCTCTCGCTGAGGCGCCGGCCTCATTTTCGGGCCCCGCTCGTTCCGAATCGTGTTCCCGCTGCAGCGCTGGCCTCATTTCCGCCGGCGCCTGCACGCCCGAGCCGGCGCCCGGGCCGGCACTCGGGCCGGGTCTGGAGCCGGTTCCGGCCGGCGCCGGAAAATCGAGTTCCGAGGCGGCGCCGAATAAAGGACATTTCAATACACATTTTTCTTTTGAGAATGTTGAATTTCTGCTTCCGGCGCCCAGGAGGCCTCCTCGGCCGATTCCGACGCCCGGGCCGGCGCCCGAGCCGGCGCCCGGGCCGGACGTCCGAGCCGGCGCCCTGGCCGGCGCCCAGGCCCGGTCCGGAGCCGGTTCCGGCCGGCGCCGGAAAATCGAGTTCCGAGGCGACGCCGAAAAAAGGCCATTCCAATACACATTTTTCTTTTGAAAATGCAAGAATTCTTGCTTCTGGCACCTTGGAAGCCTCCCGGGCCGATTCCGGCGTGCTCCCGCTCGTTCCGAATCGTGCTCCCGCTGCAGTGCGGGCCTCATTTCCGCGCTTCCGCTCGTTTCGACTCGTGCTCCCGCTGCAGCGCTGGCGTCATTTCCCGTGCCATGCCACGGCATGCAATGCAATGTTAGGTTCATACTATCTTCGCGGTGCTACTTCTACTCCATGCCGTGCCTGTCTCTACAATGCATCGCGTACCCTTTCGGGATCATTGCCCTGCTCGACATCCGACTGTGCGAGTAGAGAGGGGATCTGCGCCATGGTAAGGGATGGGAGGGAGGGGTAGGATGCCAGATATGACGCGAGCGCACCTAGCTTGCCCTTCCCCCCTCCCTCGGACCCCCCTCCTCCTCTTCCGGGGGGGGGGCGCGGCGGCCTTGGCCGACTGCTCCCGGAAGAGCACATAGTCCATGGCCACGCGCCAAACGCCCTGGCTGGCGTCGGCGCCAAAGGAGCCCCAGGGGCTCGCGGAGGCCGAGCAGGTGCCCTGCGCCTCGCCTCGGGGCGACAAAGCGGGGGGGGGGGGGGCGGCGGCGAGGCGCGGGGGGAGGCGGTGCAGCTCGGGCCCCCTCTGGGGCGTGTGCGTGTGCATGCGTGTGCGTGTGCGTGTGCGCGTGCGTGTGCGTGTGCGTGTGCGTGTGCGTGCGAGTGTGCGTGCGCGTGTGTGTGCGCGTGCGCGTGTGCGTGCGCGTGCGCGAGTGCGTGTGCGTGTGGGTGTGGATGTGTTTCCTGCGCCGCGCCTTCGACAGTGCTCGATCGCAGTCAGCACTGCCATCTGCTGCTCTCGCCTGAGGACCCGCTGCGCCGCTGGCGTACGTGTGTGTGTGCGCGCGCGGGGAGGGCCCAACGTCTCCACGCCACGTGATCTGAGCCGGTCGCGCGCGCCTCTTCGCCCGACCCTTGCCCCCCTGCGCCGCGGCGCGCGCGGCCGCGGCGCCAGAAAGTGTGTGGGGGTGTTTTTTTTTCAGCAGGACCTCGTGATGGTGAATGGCTCCGGGAACCTCACGCCAAACGCCCAGAGCGCCCAAACGCCCAGTGAGGTTAGGTCGGTGCCCAGAGAAATCCAAAACCGTGATCGAGGAGCGGGAACCTGCACAAGGTGGCCCTCGAAGGCCGACTCGAAAAACGGCTACAATCTGAAGAACCCGAGGCAACTACCCAACGATACAACAGACGGGTGGGCGAGGCCCGCCTGAGGTCGCTCCTTGGCGAGAACCACTGCCGCTCTGGTGCAAGAGGGGGGCCAGGGCTAAGGCATTGCAAAGCCGAGACGGCCTGTAGCAACAGGCAGGAAGTGCACGCTCCGCGACAATGTCTCCCGTGCAGCAGAACCACAAGATGGCGACCTCGCCTCGGCGAGCGCCGCTTCGGGGAGGTGGACGAGCGAGGCAAACTCGCGCCATATTTGTCGCCCTGCCCCTCCCACCCATCCCGTCCCATTGCGCTGATTCGTCTCCGTCCGCCGACCGATGTCACAGCAGACATGGAACAGCCAAATCTGATACCCGACCCCTCCCACCCATCCATTCCAAGTGCGCCGAACATGTTCTATCCAGACGAAATCGGGATCTCTGAGATCCGGCGATCCTGCAGGATAGATCGGGCGCCGCCACGGAACGCCCTGAGAGCGTTGTAGAAGGGTCTGCAACGATCTTGCCCCTGCCCCTAGCCCCCCTACACAAAAGAAGAAAAATATGGGCACGGGGGAAGCGGGTCATGAGGGAAACGGGTCCTGGATCCCAGGGCCTTCCCCCAGGATCAGTTGTTCATCCTGAATCGTTCTCTGACAGTCCCAGGGCCCGAGGTGGGCCTCGAGAGCTTAAAAACGGCGAAAAACCTCGGGACCCGTTCCTCCACAGCGATGCACAGGAGGAGGAGGTGGAGGAGGAGGAGGAGGAGCGGGAGGATGAGCAGGAGGAGGAGGAGGAGGAGCAGGAGGAGGAGGGGGGATGAGGAGGAGGAGGACGAGGAGCAGAAGGAGACGGAGGAGGAGGAGGAGGAGAAGGAGGACGAGGAGCAGAAGGAGACGAAGGAAGAGGAGGAGGAGGACGAGGAGGAGGAGGATGAGGAGGAGGGAGCTGAAGGAGCTGAAGCGCGCAGAAGTCATGCCGCGGTAAACACTTGGCGCCCCGTCGCCCACGTACGGCGTGTGCCGCCACGGCACGCCGGCGCAGCCGAGCTCGTCCTCGGAGCTGCAGGCCGCCTCGACGCCGACCCAGTTGGCCGTGGCCCCGGAGCCGCAGGAGGAGCGGTAGAGGATGTTGTAGCCTGCGCGCGAGGCCGCCCTCTGGTGTCCTCCACCCTCCTCCGCCCTCCTCTCCTCCTCCTCGTCCTCGTCCTTGGCCGCATCCTCCTCTTCCTCCTCCTTCTCCTCCTCCTCCTCCTCCTCGTCCTCCACCTCCTGTTCTCCTGTTCTTCTCCTCCTCCTCCTCCTCCTGTTCTGCTCCTCCTCCTCATCCTCCTCCTGTTCTACTCCTCCTCCTGCTCCTCCTTCTCCTCCTCCTGCTCCTCCTCCTCCTCCTCCCTCCCCCACCCCCTCCTCCTCCTCCTCCTCCTCCTCCTCCTCCTCCTCCTCCTCCTCCTCCTCCTCCTCCTGCCCCTCCTCCTACCCCTCTTCATGCGTCTCCTCCTCCTCCTTCTCCTCCTCCTCGCGGGCTCCCTCGCGATTCCGAGGGGCCCCCTGTCGTCCATGCGCAGGGGGCGGAGGGGGAGGGAGACAGGGAGCGGGGTGGGCCAAGTGGGCGGGAGGGGGGAGAGGACGGGGGGGAGGAGGCAGGCTGGGTGCGCTCGCGCAGCATCCGACATCCTGCACCTGCCATCCATCACACTTCTCGTTACGCTGAATCCTCCTCTCTCCGCCGAGCGGGGTGCCCCGAGTGGCAGCTGCAGGATTTGACCCATGGCTTGCTGCGCTGATTGTTCTCTATCCGCCGGCGAGTGTCGTGGCGGACCTGGAATTCCAAAGAGGGACCCCATCGTGTTATGCGCAGTCGGAAATGGAGAGCTGCGCGCATCGGAGGATGTGGCTGATGAGGAGGAGGAAAGGCCGCCGACCCTGTCGGCGTGCGGAAGACGCTGTTCTGTCTGACTCGTCGTCGTCGTCGTCGTCGAAATCCGCCTCGTCGTCGTAGTTATGTTTGACTCGTCGTCGTCGTCGTCATCGCAGCTACTGGGTCCTCCTCCTCCAGCGCGGCAGCCACAGCGAAATCAAACCGACACCTCAAGCGTGCCAGCCAAAGCGAAACCAAACCTAAATTGAGCAACGCCGTAGTTGACTTGAAGGGAAGCCCCATTCGCTTAGTTCCCTTCCCCCCCGAACGGGGGGTCCCTGGGAGGGTAGAGTGGGGCGGGGCCCCTGGTCAGAATGCAATCGCCCCTGGGCGGTGTGCCCCAAGAGACTCCCAAGACGGCCCAAAAGGATCCCGAATCGCCGAACGATTGGTCCTAGACGCCGAAGATGGCCTCCAGACGGACCATGAGGCCTTCCAAGACGCACCAAGAGGCCTTCCAAGATAGCCCCAAGAGGCAACAAACAGTGATGTTCTTGGCGTACGGATTCGGGCGTTCTCGCCTTTACGGCCTCCTAACAATCCTGCTCCGACTCTTGTTCCTACTCCTCATCCTCATCATCAGCATCATCATCTTACGCCTGCTTCTCCACCCCATTTTTCCTCCGCATCCTCCTCCTCCTCCTCCTCTTCCTCCTCCTCCTCCTCCTCCATATCCTTCTGACCCTCGTCCTCGTCCTCGTCCTCGTCGTCGTCGTCGTCCGACTACTCCTCCTCCTCCTCCTCATCAGCATCATCACCATCACCATCACCATCATCATCATCAGCATCATAATCACCATCAGAATCATCAGAAGCAGCAGCAGCATCAGCATCAGCATCAGCATCATCAGCATCAGCATCAGCATCAGCATCAGCATCAGCATCAGCATCAGCATCATCATCATCATCATCAT